GGTGTTGGAGGGGATGGGGCGGCAGCCGGGTGGGGGGTTGGGAAACCGCGGCTCAGGTTTCTAAGCCTAGGCTTCCCCCCTCACTGTGCGGTGCAACAGGCACCACTGTGATGTTAGCACACAGCGTGATGGGGGCTCGGTGCAGCTTTCCTCCGCTCCCATGGAGCAGCTCTGATATGCGGATTGAAAAGAACTCTATAACTCACAGAGTAGTTATAAGAGTAGGTATGAATTTATTCAGCACTGAGGTGCATGGGGGATATATCTTCTGAAAAGCATGCACACCTTTTAGATTTGGCTTTCTCTTTTTATCCTTTACAAACTAGGGTTGCACAATACGCCTAATACATATTCATTTCCTAACTCCACCTGTCCTCACTTCATATTACAATTAGCTCCACGCCCCTTTGTGGCTGCACAGTGGTCGGTTTTGGTCAGTTCAGTGGTCGTCTGGCGGGGGGGTCTTTGGGATGAGGTCAGCAGTTTTCTCTTTAGCTGAACTCTTCACTTTGTCTTTTTGCGCATGCCTCCTTCAGTCTTTTGACCACTTTTTGGACTTCGATACCGTTCTTTCCAGCTTAGGGGTCCAAGGAATCCCTTTATCTTGTGGTGCCTTTGTCTTTGCATCTTGTTTGTGTATTTTAGCTCTTTATCTTATCTTGCAGTCTTGCTCCTTTCTTGTTCTTGTCTGTTCCCCCTCTCTTCTGGTCAGGCATTTCTTTATGCTTAATTCTTAATTTCTCTGTTTCAGCTCTGCCTAGGAGAATGGCTCCATTCCCCCCCCCACCCATACCCTGGGGGATGACGAACGAAAGGGTACTGATATATTGATTACAGAATGTGAATCTACTGATATGATATTGTTGATAAGTTACAGTTTTAGGAGTTCATTTGGTTTTTACCCCAGGATTTTTGGGAATCTTGTTTTAAAATTATATCATGTGGGAGATTCTTTTCCAGTTAGGGAGGCACTGGCCACACCTTAGCTCTTTCTGGATAAGAATTACCAACAGGCTCAGTTATTTCTGCAGCAAAAGTTACATATGAGTTCTTTGACTTGGCAATTTGCCTTGTAAATATTACAGCTGAATCAATCTTTGGTGCCAATCTGTAACCCTCGCCATGGAGAGTTGTTCAGGTCTTTTCACTGGAAATAAACACATTAGCTCTTTGCAGTTTCTGGGCTGATCAAATTTATAGGCAACAATTGAAAAAAAAAAAAGATTATTTGAACAAAATATGTTTATATTAGAAATTTAAAAAATTAATTATCAAGTCTAAATGTTGATTGACTAATAACAGTAATGACTAATTAATTTATTAACTTGGGAGAAGATATGCCTGTGCTTTATTATCAGCAGGTTCAAGCAGTCACGTCAGACACCCATCACCTTTGAGGAGTGAAAAGGGACACGTGTTTCAGGATTCAAGAAGACATCTAGTGAAGCTAAAGAACAGTGTCTTCAGCTGATGGACTTTTACATAAGTTTCATTTATTTGGACTCTAAGACAAAAATTACTGGTTTTCCAAAAAGATGTAATTGTACCTCATGTAATATCTCATGTACTTTTGCTTGTAGTTACCGAGGGCTGTGGTTTTACTTTGTGGTAACTGGGATCATGTAGATCTTTGGGAATCAGGTTCATCAAGGAAATTCCGTCATTGATACTGCCATTCATATCAATTCAGATTCTCCTCCTACAAGTATCATTGGCAAAACTGAGCAAGCAATGGTCCAATCCTGCACAAACCCCATGCAGCTCACTTTGGTATTTTCACCACACTTCCTGCAAAAGTAAAAAGTGTAAGGCAAATACACTTATTTACACTTATATTACACTTATAGATTTCCAACAGCTCGGAAAGGGCTTTGGAGATTTAAGTCTAAATATTTGGATATTTGGCCTGTTCAGTTTTGCAGCCTTTATTGGGATAGACCTTCTGTTCCTTGGGAAAGTAGGTCGTCTTATCATCTATCATATGCATTGTGCTACCAAAAAAAAAAAACAAACAAAAAAGCACCCAAGCTGTCTGAATTAATTGCTCATTTGAAACAATCTGAAAAATGGGAGAAACAGGAAAAGCTATTGATACATGGAAGGGTAAGTCTGACTAGCAAGTGCTCGAAGGTCACAAACCAAGTTTAGCCCAGTTAGGTACCCCTGAATTTGGTCATTGAATCTGCTTATATAGCAGACCTAACCAAATGTTTGAATTTCTCACTTTTGAAAGAGGTCAATGATGCAACCTTGTTTCATTATTGAAAAACTTTTCCTGCACATTTGGAGTCACTCCAATTTACCAAATTTAACTGACTCCTAGCAAGAATGAACAACAAGACTTGATGGTAATGCATGAAGGATTCAATAGCATGTGCCAGAAAATCTCTTTGACCATTCTAAGTCAGTGTCCAATCAAGGTCTTGTATGGTAATCGACAAGTTACTGAAGGGACCTCTGATGCTGTGTTTATTCTCTTCCCTGCAAGGGCCCAGCAGTGTTGAAGCAGGGTCTGGCATTCAGAAGATACTGGGATGTAACGGAAGGATAGTCACACCCCTCCTCTACAGTGTATGGTAATGACTCCTGCAATTAGCCAATAGCACCTAGCTGTGATGAAAGCAGATGGGAGTAACATAGTGACCCTAGGTTATAAAATGTCAAATTCTCTAGCAATAAACGCCATTCCGCCATCCATCACATTGATGCTGTGGGTAATGGACCGAGTGACCTGGGTGTTGGTCACCATGCTGTTCCTTGAACCAGGGTGTTTGCCTTGCTTAAAAGGCAACATTTGGTACCGGAAACCCGGGAGAAAGTGGGATTCAAACCCAGAAAGCGAGGATTACCTGGAAAATGGGAGCAGCGGTCAGGACCAGCTGGACTAGTCCTGGCGAGGGTGACATCCCTGTATCCAGAAGGAAGATGAAAGCCCTGATAAAGGTCAGATTGCAATTAAATTGTAAACCTAATTCTTTTACTCTTGCTATTGCAAGACTTTTGTATATTGGGGTCATAAATCAGCTAGTAAAGTTTATCCACCCTAAGGTGTGGGACAGATGTACTAAAACCCTTGCCAAAGAGACCTGGAAGGCGGCAAGAAACTGTCTGTTGGCCACCCCGAAATTTGGGGTCAGAGCGGCCACTCAGATTTTACAGCCCCCAGGCGAGAGTGGCTCAGCTGAGCCAAAGGGGACACAAGAGGGCGATGCATCCCCTCAATCCCCGAACCCTGATCTGCTCTCAAACGAACAGCAGAAAGCAGGAGATTTTTGGAGAAAGTTAACAGAAGAAGCCAGAGGTGTTGCAGACAAAGTCAGGGGGGAAACATCCCCCCAGGGGCTTAAAAATGGCGCTGAGCAAAAAGACATACAGCGGGAAAGGAATGTCCTTATTGAAAACAAAGAACAAATGCTGGCATTGAGAGATGAACACAGTCGGGAGGTTGGGAGAGATAAGGAATGTGAAGAAGGATGCGGGGAAGGTGTAAAGAGGGATAGGGAAAAGAATGTAGAGAATGGGGGAGAGAGGGGGAGCAGAGGGAGGAACAGAGCGTGGGGTGAAGGGCGGAGTGAAAGGTGGGGTGAAAGGCGGAGTGGAGGGTGGACTGAAGGGCGGGGAGAGCCAGGAGGGAGGGAACAGCCTGCCCACAGGGGTGGTAGGTGGGGCTGGAGCCCAACAAAAAGGCACGGGAAACAGGAAGTAGCTAGCCAGTCGAGCTCTGACTCTGATCGAGATACTAGTGACGAATGGTCAGAGGCTGAGTCCTCAGAAGAGGAAACAATAAAGATAAACAAGAATATCCCCCTCCGCATTAAAAAAGAACTGAGAGAGGATACCCCTCTCACAGAATGGGGTCAGATAAGAGCAGAATGTGCCACCTGGGTCCCCCCAGTATTCCCAGTCCAGGTGTCTGAGGGGGGACAGAGAGTTTACTCACCAATAAATCCTAAAGAAGTTAAAACAATTGTTAAAGCAATTTCAGAAAAAGGGCTTAATTCTGCCATGGTCACCTCCCTTATCGATGGTCTTTTTGGGGGTGACGACCTGCTCCCTTTTGATATAAAACACACTTGCAGATTGTTTTTCGATGGGGCAGGGATGATTGTTTTTAAACAAGATTGGGAAGACAACTGTGCCAAATACCTAGCCCAAATAGGGGCAGACCATCCGCTACACGGCTCCAGCCTGCCGCGGTTAATGGGCACAGACCCAGCCATGGTTACACCTCAGGCACAAGCCCAGGGTATGCAGGCCCACGAAGTTATGACAACCACTCATGCGGCCAGAGAAGCTATTTGCTCGGCCTCTAGAGTTGTTGCTAAGCCATCACCATGGGCTACCATAAAGCAAAACAAAAGCGAGAGCTTTACACAATTTGTAGACGGCCTTCAGGCAGCTGTTGACTCCTTGGCCCTGCCCCCAGAGGCAAAAGGCCCAGTCATGGCAGACTGCTTGCATCAACAATGCAATTCGACAACCAAGGAAATCCTCCAATCGTTACCGGCAGGGGCAAATATCGCAGAGATGATTAAGCATGTTGTGAGGGAGGAACAGGTAGGATTCAAACTGCAGTCTGCACAGCAATCGCTAACACGATGGCGTGTTTCAAATGCGGTCAGGCAGGTCATGTTGCTGCAAATTGCAAAGGGGGGGGGCCATAGCAGCGTCCACCTCACAGCAGAACCGATTTAAAGGGCCATGCTGGGCTTGTGGGAAAAAGGGGCACCTTGCCAGAGAATGCAGATCCAAGGCTCAGGAAAACGGGAGGGGGAGAGGACAGCAGGGTTGCACACAGTCCTCTCCCACTTGGGATGCGAGGCAGCCCAGTTATGCCAATCCTGCAAGGACAGAGATGCTCCCAAATCCTTTACCCCCCCCAGAGGCGACCACTTTCATGACCCAGCCAGTTACTCAGCCAACCTTGCCTTACCTGCCTCAGGGGCAGCAGGGATCACACTCGGGGGACATGACCCCAGGGTGGTCCTGGCAGTAAGGTGTGACAACCTGCCGGTGGTATGGGGGATCCGCACCCTTTATGACACCTCAGGTGATCAAAGTATCCCCTCTGGATCTATCAGTGTTCCTTTTCTAATTGATACTGGGGCAGATGTCACAGTCATTCCAGAGACAAATTGGCCTCCGCTCTGGAAACTAGAGGATGCCCTCATGGTAGGCGGGGTTGGAGGGCTGTCATGGGCTCGGAGAAGCACACAGCTAATAGCCATTACACTCCACACAGAAAAAGGGCCAGAAAAAACTATTGCCCTCTTCCTGTATGTCATGACAGGAATCCCAGCCCTGCTAGGGAGCAACACCCTAGCCTTGCTAAAAGCCAGGGTGACAAATTTACCCTAAGGGCCACTGCCACGTACCCGCTGCCACCAATCAGGCTTTCTTGGAAATCATCCGACCCAGTGTGGGTCGAGCAGTGGCCCCTGTCCAAGCCTCGATTAGATGCCCTTCTTGAGTTAGTTAACCGTGAATTACAACAAGGTCACACAGAGCCATCTACTAGCCCGTAGAATACCCCTGTTTTCATAATCCCTAAACGATCCAGAGAAGGGTTTCACCTCCTCCACGATTTACGTGAAGTAAATAAGAAAATTCAACCCATGGGACCTGTTCAAACGTTGCCTATGAACTCTATGGTGCCAGAGGGCCAACCCTGTGCTGTTCTTGATATCAAAGACTGTTTCTTTTCTATACCCTTTCATGAAGAAGACAGAGAGCGGTTTGCTTTCTCAGTGGTGTTTCCAAGCAGCCAGCGCCCCAACCTACGCTTCCAGTGGAAAGTGCTGCTTCAGGGGATGGTCAGCTCACCTACAATCTGCCAAATCACAGTCGATCGAGTGCTAGCATCGATCCGTCATAGCAACTTGACTGCGACCATCATCCAGTACATGGACGACATCCTGATTGCCGCACCCTCGGGAGGTCAGGTAGACCAGTTAGTGTCAACAATCACAGAGACTCTAAAAACAAATGGCTTTGAGATCGCGAGTGCAAAAATAAAAAAGGGGCCATGTGTTGTGGGTACGGAGGAGCCCGCCGAGCCAGAGATCCTGTCTCTGCCCTGAAGGCAAGACACCTTTTAGTCAGAGAGACACAATGTGTCGCTCCCAGGGGTCTTTGAGTTAGATATGTTAAACTGTTGTGTCCCATTGGTGTTCCCCCCTGCTGTCCCACCCCGATACGTGTATCTCAGGCTCCCCC